AAAGAATGGAGGCCTTTGAACTATGGTGCTGGAGAAGACTCCTGTGAGTTCCCTTGGACTGCAAGGCGAACAAACTGGTCAGTCCTAGAGGAGATCAACCCTGACTGCTCTTTAGATGGATCCTGAAGATGAAACTCAAATACTTTGGCCACCTAATGAGAAGGAAAGACTCGCTGGGAAAGATTGAGGGCAAAAGAAGAAGTGGGCGACAGAGAACGATGTGGCTGGATGGTGTCACTGAAGTAGTAGGCGTGAGCTTAAATGGACTCCAGAGGATGGTAGAGGACAGGGAGGCCTGGAGGAACACTGTCCATGGGGTCGCAATGGGTCAGATATGACTTCACAACTAACAACAACAACTTGTATTGTAAAGATATGCTCTGAGAATTTCTAGAGAGGATCTACTATATCTTAACTCTCTTCCTCCCAACTAAACTATCTAAAATTTGCCAGGAGGCAGGAGCTGCATGCCATTCTCTCGAATGCAGCTCCTGCCTCCTGGGAATCTGGATTACATTTTGCCACAAATCCCCAATCTTGACACAGCCTTAATACTCATATGCTGGTGACTTTAAAGACATCTGTGGAGATTCTCAGTCATCCAGATCATGGGTGTCCCAAAGGTGTTTTTTCAAAAGGCAACTTTGTTTTTCCTTGAAGATGTTCTGCTTCTCACCCAAGAAGCTTCTTCAGTTCCGTAAAAAAACTGAAGAAGCTTCTTGGATGAGAACCAAAACACCTTCAAGGAGAAACAAAACTCCAGTTGCTTTTTGAAAAAGCAACTTTGGGTCACTTTAAAGAGCAATGCGCCATTTGAACACAACATCTTGTCCCCTCTGTGCCCGCAGATACCTTGCTTGATGTCCAGCACATTTCTTGCCCATCTGACCATATAATGTTAAAGTTCTTCTAATACAAATAAAATAAATGGGACAATATCAGGCCAGAAACAAAAGAATTAGCCTCTGGCATTGTTTTTATTTACCAGGATTATTCTGGGTTCCATTTCTGTTCTATATGCATTTGGAATAAAAAAAAACAACATTGGGTGACTGTAATCCAGACCTTTTGTAAATATGCCAATCTTCCTAGAGAGGAAAATGGAGAATATTCAGATAAACTAGGAAAGGCTAGTAAGCATCCTTGCTAGCTGGCTTTTGTGAAAAGCTGTCTGGATAGATGCAGATGGCAATTCTTGCTACCCAATGCAATACGGGTCCATCTTAATCTTTCTAAGTTTGACAAAGCAGATGCCAGCTGTGAAAAATTCCTGTGCTATTTTAAGATCCAAATTTGAGGATTTTTTTTTCTTTACAATTATTCTTTTTGCCTTAATCAAATGGATGTAGATTTAATTGATTACAATTTATCGAGTGACAGCCATTAAGAAAAAAAAAAAAGAAACAGCTACTTGGCATTTCTGATTTCAGGTACATCCTTGATATACAGAGAAAGAAATGTGCAAAATTCATTCAGTTACACCAGAAAATCAATCTCTATTGGGCTTTTGCTTGTCTAGTCCTTCCTAGGAACCAAACTAATATGTATAATTGCAGGGGGGAAAAAACTAATTAATTTGGATGCTTCTGTGCGTTCTCTAACTCTCAGCCAAAGTGACGCAGTTCAATCTGCTCCGAATGGAGACTTATTTTGTTCATAATGTCAACTGATATAAATTACTCCTATGTTTGCTATTATGAGATGAGGAACTCCATGATCCCATAGTGCTATGATATGAAATGGCCCAACCTGTACTCTGTTTTTCTTTCTTCCCATCACAATTCACTTTTTACTATAGGGAGCTATTGGTACTAAAATGATGCTCACAGAAGAGACATAAGTGATTTTCCACAAGGGGGCGCTGCCAGGCAGAAGCAGAGAGGTAACAATTGCTATTTCACTGAAAACATTATGGCTGCCTCTCCCCCCACATAACCACCCCCAAAAGCTAAAACAGTAGGCAATCAAAGGTGGGGGTGTGAAAAGACATTTCAGTAGGAATTTTGGAATCTGTAATCTCGGAATAAATGTTATTCCCCCCAAATCTAGAATAGAATACCCCGAGAAATTTATCTCCTGCATCCAAAAGGAATTCTTAAAATCATTTTCTCTGTTGTAATTAGTTGCAAGGCCTTTCTTTCAAGTAAACCTCAGCTTATTCTTTTTTTTTTTTTACAATGAACAGAAGATTGAAATGTCTTGCAGGTGCAAGTTACAGTAAGAGATGCTTTGGCGGCAGAGATGAAAACAGTCTAAGAAGGCAAACGATTGGAAGAACATCTTCTTTGGCAGGCGGAACCTTCTAAATATGGATATTGTGCTTTTTTTTCACCTCTTTTTCTATTTCTGTCTAGGTCTCTGTCTCTCTCTCTGTCTCTCTTTCTCTTTTACTCTCTTACACACGTCCTCTTGCTCAAATCACAACTGAGATGGCAACACTTGCAGCTTCAGAGCACACCTATACCGATACAGATTAACAGAGTTGGAAGGGACCTTCCAACTTGTAGGTCATCAGTGGTGGGTTGCTCCCAGTTTGGTCTGGTTCTATAGAACCGGTAGTAAAACCGGTGGGAGGCTCCGCCCACCCGCCACGATGTCATCACGGGTGATCTGCGCATGTGCAGAAGCATGCGCACACACTCCTGTTGTGAACCGGTAGTAAAAGTAAGTGGAACCCACCCCTGGTAGGTCATGTAGTCCAATTCTCCCCCCCCCAAGAAGACCCTACACCAGGGATGGTACTCACTTACTTTCCCTACCGGTTCGCAAATGTGAGCGAGCGAGCGCCCCGTCCACACATGCGCCAAGCCTACCTCACATGTGCTTTGCTGGCACGCGTGCCTTTCACACATGCTCCTGGCCTCAAAAATGTGCCTAAATAGGATGGCATAGAGCCGGGGTGGGTGGACAGGCCCACCCATGATTTCAGCTACCGGTTCAGGTGAACTGCTTAAAACCGGCTGAATACCACCTCTGCCCTACACCATTTCTGACAGATGGTAGTCCAGTCTCTTCTTGAAAGCTTCCAGTGCTGAAGCTCTCACAACTTCTTAAGGCAAGCTGTTTAACGTTTGCTTTTGGGGGCAACCCAGTGGTGGGTTGCTCCCGGTTCAGACTGGTTCACAAGAACCGGTAGTAAAACCGGTGGGAGGTCCCGCCCATCGCCCCGGATGTTGTCATCGGTGCTCTGCGCATGCGCAGAAGCAAGGTGCATGTGCGAGTGAAGTGAGCGCGCACGAGCGATCCTGTTTCGAACCGGTAGTAAAGGTAAGTAGAACCCACCCCTGGGGAAACCTGATATAATGGTGAATTTATTACACTTAAGAATGCCAAGATACAAGGTCAGCTTTCCATTCAGATACCCACTGGTTTGGGGCAGTTCACGCTCTGCCTCTCCAAGCCAACTTAACTCAAGAGTGTGTTGTAATCGAGTGTGTTGTGAAATAAAATGGAGGTAGGGGAAGGGGAAGGGGCAGCAGCAAGGAAAGAATCACCCAGGTAGGCTCACTTAAGATTTTGGGAATTAGGAGGAACATCAACCATTTAAACCTAAAGTGAAAAATGGAAACTCCAAGACCTTATGCTGCCATTCATGTATGATGACCCTGATCTAAATGATCAGTTCTCACCCCACTCCTCAAAGCATTTAATCTTTAAAGGTCTTAAAACAAGGGTCCAGTTCTGTGGGCATGGCTTGGTGGGCATGGTGTGGCTTGGTGGGCGTGGCAGGGGAAGGATACTGCAAAATCTCCATTCCCTCCCCACTCCTGGGGGAAGGATATTGCAAAATTTCCATTCCCTTCCAACTCTGGGGCTAGCCAGAGGTGATAATTTCCGGTTCTCTGAACTACTCAAAATTTCCGCTACCGGTTCTCCAGAACCTGTCAGAACCTGCTGGATTTCACTCCTGGTGCAGATAGTGTGGCTGTATGCAAAGGTCCTTTCCAACTCTGTTAATCTGTTAACTGCAGCCATCTTTCTAGCTCCCCAGGGCAGGGGTGAAATGTAAAGTTTGTTACTACTGGTTCTGTGGGCGTGGCTTGGTGGGGGGGGGGAGTAATGTGACTGGGTCGGCATGGCCAACTTTTTTTTTTTAAAATTTTCAAAGCATTTTTTCTACAACCCCAAAGAGGTTGTAAAAAAAATGTTTTGAAAAGCCTCTGATGATACCAGCTGAGCCGTGGGATCATCAGAGGCTTTTTTTTTTTACTTTTAAAAGCATTTTTTCAGCAGAAGAGAAAGCCGCAGGGATTTTTACTACCGGTTCTCCGAACCACCCGCTGCCATCGCTACCGGATCGGGTGATCCGGTCCGAACCGGGAGCATTTCACCCCTGCCCCAGGGACATTGGGACTAACATTTAGCAGGGACAACTCTAAGTACGGGTAGTCCTTGACTTACAACCACAACTGAGCCCAAAATTTCTGTTGCTAAGTGAAACATTTGTTAAGTGAGTTCCCCCCCCCCCACTTTGCAACCTTTCTTGCCACAATTGTTAAGTGAATCACTGCAGCTGTTAAGTTAGTACCAAGGGCTGTTAAGTGAATCTGGCTTCCCCATTGACTTTGCTTATCAGAAGGTCACTAAATGGGATCACATAATTCCAGGACACTGCTACTGTCATAAATATGAGTCAGTTGACAAGCATCTGAATTTCGATCACATGACCATGGGGAGGCTGCAACAGTCGTTAAGTGTGAAAAACAGTCATAAGTCACTTTTTTCAGTGCCGTTGTAACTTGGAACAAGCTGTTGTAAATCAAGGATTTATTGTCAATTGAGGATTTACTGTAAATCAAAGATTTACAATATATTGTAAATATATTGTAAATCAAGGATTACTTGTAGTGCTCGCTTTTTTTTTTCTGACGAGAATTTACAGGATGGGAAGAGGGATTGTTGGCAGATATTTTTGTGTTCTGTCATTTGAATGTAAAATGCCCCAAATCTTCATATGAAAAATGAACATTAGCTTAGCTGAGATGTTCCTCTTTTTTCAGTGCTTCCTGCAGTGCCTATGTGGTGAATGGAAAAACATGAAAAAGCAAAGAAATATGCTTACCATCCAACAGACAGGTAACTGGAATAGATTTATTTTGTCAGTTCATTCCTAGCTTCTTCTAGATTTTGACTTTTGATGCCTTTAGGCTATGTTAAAGTGCAGACTATACAAACTATAACTTTCTTTCTTTCTTTCATTTCTGTCTTTCTTTCTTTCTCTCTCTCTCTCTCTCTTTCTTTTTCTTATAAATGAAAAAGTTAAGTGATAAAAATATGAATGTGTCAATAGAGGGAAATATATGTGCATGTAAGATGCCATTATATGGTTTAGTTGATATGAACTTTCTTTTTCTTTTTAAAGTATTACATGGAAAGGCTTTGAAACTTCAGTTTGTTAAAAAAAGGGGGGGAAAAAAATAACAGCCTAACAGCCTTTGAAGTCGTCGCTACTGATATAGCTCTGAACAGTTTCATTCAAGTCCAACTAACATCAGACAACTGTTTAGTGTATCAGAGGAAGCCACAAAAGCAAGGATTTCATCAATATTTCACAACAGCCTCGGGGAAACTGTAGATTGCTGTGCTGTAGGGCAGCTAATGGAATTACACACAAGGGTTTTGTACATTTAAAATAAGCAGCTACTAAAAAAAAAAAACCTTTCAGTTTGATAGAAACAGTATAAAAATTGCAGATAGAAGAAACAAATACCAACCAAGTTTTATCCACATTAGGGTTGGTAGAACATTGGAAAATCAGATCTTCGTTTGCTGATATTGTTATATTATTATGGCTTGTCACACGGTCAGCCAGATGTTCAGTCTGGGTTTGGCATTTTTGTTTACCTATTGAGTCCTTTCCAAGGACCTGGGATAGACAGATCTGGATGTTTGATGATGTTACAGACATTGTTGCAAGATGGAAGCTTTTCTGAGAAAAGCCAACTTTTGCAATTGACTGATGCACTTGTCAATGCCGATGGCGTTCAAGCAGTGCATTGACAAATTCACCATCAATGCACTATTATTATTATTATTATTATTATTATTATTATTATTATTATTATTATTTTATTGCCATTTGGCTCTAGCGTAGGCAATATTGTCATTCATAGAAACTAACACAAAAATAGTAGAGACAATTAATAATTAAAGAGGCTCATAAAAAATGGTTTAATACTTTACAGATGAAAATCTCGCTTCCTAATGATGAAATGTGCTAGAGTGTCAACTAGATACACTCAACCATTTTGATTTGACAGAGTGAAAAATTTGGAAGACTGACCCACTCCCCCCTTCCTTTAAACTCTCTTCCTCCAAAGTGTATGGAAAATAGTTGATGAAGGTATTTACAAAGTCCATGGTCTGGGGGAAGGTGAGAGGAAGTTCTCCATCCTATGAAAAAGAAAATGTATCGAATAATGCAGTTGTAAGATCAGCATTTTCTCTCCAAGACTCTTTATCAGAGTCAAAAATTGTGCATACAGCACAACATTTCCTATTCTAAAATTAGATCTCTTCCCAACAGTGCATTATTCACCTTAGAAAAATAAGCACTGTTGACCTTCGGCTCAATTATATTAAAATGCTTACATATGGCCTATATCAGATGACTTCTCTTGGTTACAGCTTCCTTCAAAATGGCTTTTAAATTTATTATCATCATTCATAGCTGTAAGAATACTAATTATAAAAAATTACTATTTAAATAGTGTAAGAGCTAAGAACTGAGTCTTTTCTGTGTAGGGTAATTTTGTGAACTAGAAGATTCCCCATTCAAATCTTATCTTAGCCAAAAACTTTGAAGGTCACTTAAAACAACATGATATTTCCAATATGAGAAATGTTGTAATTATAATAGGCTTAATTTATGCTCTTAAACTGCTGTAAGCATTTCAGTATGTTTGAAATATTCTATATGCATGCTTACCATTTATTTATGTACCTGTTTATCTACATTATCCATACAAGCTTATCATCAAAGATGCATTTGCACATACATACCTTGATGGTAACTGATAAATAATCTATCTACGATATGTATCATGAAATGTTCACAGAGAATGTACAGGTAGTCCTTGACTTACAACAATTTGTTTAGAGACCGTTCAAAGTTACAACGGCACCGAAAACTGACTTATAACCATTTTTCACACTTATGACCGTTGCAGCATCCCCACAGTCACACGGTTTACATTTGGGTGCTTGATAAGTGGTTCATATTTATGACAACTGCAGTGTCCTGGGATCATGTGATCCTCTTTTGTAACCTTCTGAGAATCAAAGTCAATGGGGAAACCAGATTCACTTAACTACAAGGTTACTAATTTAACAACTGCAATAGTTCACTTAACAAACATGGCAAGGAAATTTGTAAAATGGGGCAAAACTCACTTAAGAAATTTCTCACTTAGCAACATAAACTTTGGACTCAGTTGTGGTCATAATTCGATTATTACCTGTATATAGCTGCTAAATCTAAACCTGTTTAACATGGAGTACTAAGTGGAGAACATCAAGGTACACCATTAGATGTTAGTTTTCAGGTGTAGGCATACATTTTTCTTTCAGGAGCAGATGGCTTAAAGGTTTTGGCACTCTAGGGAGGAGAGGGGTGTGAACTGCAAATGGTAAAAGATAATCCAGGAATGAGGGAGTGTCGTGCAGGACAGATTTCTTAGAAGAATTCATTCTTGTATACTCTTCTACAATCTGGGCTCCTGGGAATAAACCTTGTGAGATAATCAGCCACACCAACCTTACAAAACTGAAAGTACCACACAATTTTTGTTTTTGGTGTGGACATAATAATAGCAGAAATTTGCTTGTGAATCAATTAGAATTTCACAGTTTATTCAAAACTCAAGGAAAAAACACTAAAAGCTGAGGTAACATTGAAGCATTTTGTTCTCTACTTATAGACTGGCATTTTCAGCACAATGATAACACTGACCAATATTATTCAATCTGCTCAAGATTTAACACTGTCTTTTCTTTCCCCTCCCTTTATCTCTGCACATTAAAGCAATTTTTTTGAATTTTGAAAATATTCTGAAATGTTGACTCATATTTGCAAAAACTATATATCAGATAATATGATTTGGGTCCTTTCCTTTCCTTTCCTTTCCTTTCCTTTCCTTTCCTTTCCTTTCCTTTCCTTTCCTTTCCTTTCCTTTCCTTTCCTTTCCTCTCCTCTCCTCTCCTCTCTTCTCCTCTCCTCTCCTCTCCTCTCCTCTCCCCTCCCCTCCCCCTCTTTTTTTTAAAAGTAATGTTGGTTCATATTTGCACAAACTAAACGTATGTAGAACTATCCAAGGTCATATATTTTAAAAGTGAAGGACAATGTATCTGCCAAAATGCAAAACACACACACAATCAAATAGTAACTATATTAAATATAGACTCCAAATATCTTTAAAAAGTCTTAAAAGTAGGGTTGTGCAATTGCTTTACATTCAGTTCGATATTAACATTTCATTATATGTAGGACAGATTCATCACAGCGATTCTGAAGCACTACACTCTCCTAACAGTATAACATATTTAGAAAATGACAGAATCACTAAAGAAGGACAGAAGTTAAGATGCCTTGAAATTTAGCTTAACTTATAAATTAAAATAGTCTCCTTCAACCACAATTACAGCTTCAGATCATTGCTGAGCATTACTTAAGACGTTCTTGCCTGGATGGAGGCTGGACTATCCATACAATATTAGAACTCTACCATCTATGCTCCTGTTCTACCTGGACAAGCCAGCTGCTGGGGTCAAGTTTTGAGCTGGAGAAGCTCCGTCACAGTTCTATGATGTGAGAACTTTACTCGAGCGCGTAGGATCATGCAAATTAATTTATTAAAAAAGAAACCATTAGAGAGCATTTCACCGAGGCAGCCTTTGGTGGCGCCATCTTGGATACTGCATGAGTCAAAAAGAAGGCTGTGAAAACATTTACAGACCCCTCACATCCTGGACATAAACTGTTTCAACTCCTACCCTCAAAACGACGCTATAGAGCACTGCACACCAGAACAACTAGACACAAGAACAGATTTTTCCCGAACGCCATCACTCTGCTAAACAAATAATTCCATCAACACTGTCAAACTATTTACTAAGTCTGCACTACTATTAATCTTCTCATTGTTCCCACCACCCATCTCTTTCCACTTATGACTGTATGACTGTAACTTTGTTGCTTGTATCCTTACGTTTTATATTGATATTGTTCCTGATTACTTATTTGTACCCTATGACTATCATTGTTGTACCCTATGATTCTTGATGAAGTATCTTTTCTTTTATGTACACTAAAATCATATGCACCAAGATAAATTCCTTGTGTGTTCAATCACACTTGGCCAATAAAAAATTCTATTCTATTCCATTCCATTCCATTCCATTCCATTCCATTCCATTCCATTCCATTCCATTCTATTCTATTCTATTCTATTCTATTCTATTCTATTCTATTCTATTCTATTCTATTCTATTCTATTCTATTCTAAATTAATTTATTAATTTACAGGGCCATAGCACCAAAGCATTTGAGAACCCCTGTACTAATGAATTGATAGGAGTGGATTCTCTATTTGAATTGTATAATAATTAGCAGAAATTATTCATCCAGGCTGGGAAGGATGCAATTTTCTTATGTGTAGCAAATTGCAGACTAGTTTTTCATTCTACCTGAAATCCCTGCTTTTGAAAGAGGCCCATACAAAATTCATAAAGATTATACAAAAATAAGTCGTTATTTGTGACAAAAACAAGAACCTGGGAATAAGAGATAGCTATATGCATATTGATTTCATCTCTTATGATGACACACTTACTTTTCTTATTTAGAGGGTAGTTTTACATGTAATAAGGCTTACTCTTTTCTGGTGTATATTTGATTAGGTCAGGGATGCTGTGTAGTACATCTGTCATGGATTCTTTAGTTTGTTCTAGATCAGGGGTGTCAAACTCAATTTCATTGAGGACCGCATCAGGGTTGTGTTTAACCTTGGGGGGCAGGGGACGTGGCCAGGGGGCATGGCTAGCTTGACATTGATCATGGGGGGACACCTGTGGTGGCCTGAGCACTCTGCCAGCAAAAAAAATGGGCTCCTGGGCTCCGTTTTTGCCTGTGATGGCCTCCTGCAACCCTCTGCCTCACGCAAGCAGCCGTCCCGAGCTCTGTTTTCACTGACAGAGACACCATGGTCCGGTCCTTCACTGTTTCCAGGGTGGCCCCATGGGCCAGATCTAAGCACCCCGTCGGCCGGATCTGGCCCCTGGGCCTTGAGTTTGACACCCTCTTCTAGATCTTAGGTCTTTGATTTTCTGGAGGCACTATAGTGGGGAGTTAATAGAATATTTGCTGCTCTCTGTGAGATGTTTCCAAGCTTTTTTGTAAGTTCTTTGGGTATGTCCCAAGGGGGCTTTTTAAAATGGCAGCTAGACTTTGTTTTTTCCTTGAAGACATTTCACTTCTCATTCAAGAAGCTTCTTCAGTTCTGACCACCGGTTCTTCTGTCAGAACTGAAGAAACTTCTTGGATGAGAAGCAAAATGTCTTCAAGGGGAAAAAAAAAAAGCCAAAGTCCAGTTTCCTTTTGAAAAAGTCCCTTTGGGACAACCATGACCTGGATAACTGAGAATCTCCATAGACATTCTTTGGGTAGGTTGCTTGTTTGGGTGCCCTGGTAATGATGCAGTAGGATGATGACGTATGTTGTCTTGTGTACTTCGGGGCATTGAGAGAAATGTAGCAGGATAGGTTGCTTCTTATGAATTCTTATATTCATGGAGTGATCCACATTTCTATACACAGAAATTCGCAATTCTATTCACAGTGTTAGAAACAAGCCTATTAGACGATTATTATTACTCAATCTCCTTGAAATCTGACATGTAGGATATCTCTTGTGTAGCATTGCAGCATTCGCTTTTAAATTCCCGCAGGCATTATATCTATACCTATATTCTTCATCTGAATGGATTCTAGGATGGTACACAAAAGAATGAATATATTAATCCCACCAAGGTAAACACATTACACTCAAACATCAATAGCAATTTAAGCAAACAAAGGTAAACAGAGAGATAGAAACCACAAACAAAGCAGGGGCAACACTGCTATTTAAAATGCTTTGGCCAATGAAACTTACAAAAGAGGTTCAAATGTCAAATATATATATATAAAAACTTTTGTGGGAGAATGTTCTAAAGTCAAGAGACCTTTCCAATGTAGAAGTGTGTTACCTGTCCCCAAAAGGGACTCGGAGAAAGTTCTTCGTAGAATGAGATAAGTCATAGGCAGGCAAGCATGAGAAAAAAGCCATTCCTTCCAGCTGATTTAGAATTAGTATCATGAACTGAGTCTAGAATTAAATAAGCAACCATAGAAATCTAGACTTCAAAAGCCGCCTTTATATTAAATGGGTACATCTTGACTGATTCAATAGAATATAGGAATATAGGCAGTGGTGAAATCCAATTTTTTTTACTACTGGTTCTGTGGGCGTGGTTTGGTGGCATGGTGTGGCTTGGTGGGCGTGGCTTGGGGGAATGGCAGGGGAAGGATACTGAAAAATCCCCGTTCCTTCCTCACTCCTGAGGGAAGGATATTGCAAAATCTCTATTCCCACCCCACCTGGGCCCAGCCAGAGGTGGTATTTGTCGGTTCTCCAAACTACTCAAAATTTGTGCTACCGGTTTTCCAGAACCTGTCAGAATCTACTAGATTTCACCCCTGAATATAGGCCAAGTGTGATTGGACACACAAGGAATTTGTCTCCGGTGCAAAAGCTCTCAGTGTACATACAAACAACAAAGTGGTAAGTCATAGCTCATAAATCATAAAATACAATCATAAATCATAAGATAGAAGCAACAAGTGATAATTCATAAGATACCAATAGGAGAAGGTACTAGTAAAGATGAGAAGATGAGAAGGATAATAGCAATATAGCATATAGTAATATAGTACATGGGTAAATATCTTTAGTCATAAGACAAAGCTGTTGGAATTAAGTGTTTAGCAGAGTGATGGCATGGGGGAAAATACTATTTTTGTGTCTAGTTTGGGCATGCAATGTCCTGTAGCAGTGTCCTGAGGGGAAACGTTGAAACAATTTATATCCAGGATGTGAAGGGCCTGCAGATATTTTCTCAGCCCTATTTCTGACCTGTTTGCTATACAGGTCCTCAATGGAAGGGAGGTTGGTTGCAACTATTTGTTCTGCAGTCCTAACTATCCGTTGAAGTCTGAACCTGTCCTGTTTGGTTGCTGTGCCAAACCAGACAGTTATAGAAGTACAAATGACAGACTCAATGATTCCTCTGTAGAGGTGCAATGTATTATCAACAATGATGGACAATGATCCCGTGTTTTCAAGAAGAAGTTGTAATGCCAGGGATTGAGGGCAGAATCTTCCATAGGCAATGCTCTCCTGAGCTGTTGCCCTCCCAATTATTTTTCCATTGGAATAATATGAACAAAAATTGGCTTGGCTGTTTTGAATTCAGACTTATGTCAGGGTTCCAAGTAAAACCTCCAATGAAAGAAGACTCTGAGGCTTGAAGTTCCTCAAGGTTTCATTTTATTAGAGATGTCATATAGGCACATCTGGAAAAACCAGATTTGGGAATTAAAAACTTGGCTTTTCAAATCCCTTGACCTGGTCTGATGATGGGGTTTTAAGGGTTTTAATGGGTTAATTTTAATTTTTTTAGATTTTAGTCTTTATTTTTATTGTGGCTTGTGTTTTATTGTTGTGAGCCGCCGAGTCCATCGTGAGATAGGGCGGCATATAAGCCAAATAAAAAAACAAAACAAAACCCAGAATCTGAAAGCTTCCAGGTTTTCCCCACCCAAAGGAAAGTTCAAGTCCCTGCTTAGCACCCACATGTCACCATCCCAACTGGAGATGCCTCCCAGTTCTAGCCCTCCAGGTGCAGGGCAAAATGTCCTTGACTCTCTGAGAAAGGAATGTTATTATGACTATATATCACCCACGCTCCATACAATCCTCCCTCCCAATTTCCCACAGTAGTAAATGTGGCAGGCCTGAAGGCCCAATGCAAAAGATGGCTTCCAGGCCTGACAACCAGTGCTGGGATTCAGCCAGTTCGCACCACTTTGGGAGAACCGGTTGTTAACTTTCTGAGCAGTTTGGCAAACTGGTTGTTGGAAGAAATCATTAGGGCAGAGAACCGGTTATTAAATTACTTGAATCCCACCACAGCTGACAACTTCCTTTTATTTGATTTCCTCCTGATGTATTTTACCTTTTCCTCTCACACAGGACCATAAGACCGAACAGGAGATCCCAATGAAGCCACCTTTCATTTTCTACTAAATATGATAGCTGGCAAAATCTGACTGTGGACTGTTACATTTCTGCAGCTTTGAGCATCTCGCTATCAAACCACAAAGCTTAGCATGAAGGTCATTATCCCAGGCAGCATCTTCCTTTGACTAACTTCTCAGATCCGTAAACAATAAGCAATTGTGAGAGATTGATATGATACTTTGTGAGTAATTTGGATGAACTATAATACCAGCCTGGTAAAGTATTATAATTTTAAATGTGTCCAGAAAATAATTGAAATTCTGGTTTAAGCTTCCTCCTTAATGCACAGTGCCGGGCATATTTAACAGCTGACTAGTTTAGTATGAGCATTGCTTTACAAATGAGGTCATATTGTTTTTAAGAAACAATATTGCTATCAAACTTGTTTAAGGGGGAAGTGCAAGAAATTCGGGTAAGTCTGCTTCACCTTTCTGTCTCTGTCTGTACTATTTTTGCATAAGTGTGGGCAATAAACCCATAATCAACAGCCAGGACTCTAAGTTTAAACACTATCCCTATGAAATTCTTCAGAAACAAGCCTTGATGCAATATAGCTTCAGTTGAATTAATCCATTAAAACAAGTAAATCCAAGCGTGGATCAGATATGATGCAGTGAATTGGTTTTCAAAAATTTCAGGGGCTTTTTTTGACCTACTGCTGGGATTATTGCAGACAATATACAATAATCGATTGTCTACACACAGAGGATAATGATATGTGTGTAAGAGTAATGTAGAAGACTGACACTGATGTAAGTAGCTGGATGTTTTTATTGCATCATTAAATAGTTTATCGGAGCTCAGAGTTATCAGAGCTCAGGGTGGCAAGGCCAGCGTTATTTTAGACTTACTTGTCTAAACCAGCCACATCTTGGCTCCTACTTGTGCTAGTGGAATGATTTATCCTGTTCCTACTAACACAACTAGGACTTGATTTATACTGCAAAGACAGGCTCAAAGATAGGCAGTCTGAGATACTTTTGAATCAAACCTTATTTGTGTACTTTATGTGACTGGGTCATATTTCCGTTGCTTAACAATTAGTGAACGACTAAGAACAGGAATAAGCATTTAATTTTTTAAGGTGGTAAAATACCACTTTTACTGCACCAGTAAAAACTCTTGGCTGCTGTTTTTAGCGCTGTGTCTCACATCACCAACCTGCTTTTGCTGGCCGTGCTAGCTAACTAACGTAGACAACTGCCAACAAGCTACAAATCTGACACAATTGAGCTTGGCCAGTGATAGTCCTTTCTGAGAAGGGGTAAGTTTGGTAATCAGTTATGCCAACATCTTGACCAGTGGTGGGTTTCAAGTTCAGTGGGTGTGGCTTGGTGGGCATGGCATGGCTTGGTGGGCATGGCTTGGTGGGCGTGGCAGGGGAAGGATACTGTAAAATCTCCATTCCCACCCCATTCCAGGGGAAGGTTACTGTAAAATCCCGATTCCTTCCCGATCAGCTGGGACTTGGGAGGCAGAGAATAGAGGGGGCGGGGCCAGTCAGAATTTTTACTACCCATTCTACTCACAATTTCCACTACCGGTTCTCCAGAACTGGCCAGAACCTGCTGAAACCCACCTCTGATCTTGACAGCCCAAAAAACAAGGGATGAAGCACAACACCTCACAAGGGCATGTCAGTGGCTAGAAAAGTACCATAACTAGAAAAATAACTCTCTTTTTTTCCCCTTCCAAATGGAAGATTTCTTAAATTCCACTTTCAAACTGGAGAAGAACATTTCTGCATCATTTTAGCACAACCTGAACTCTTTACTGGACAATTTGGGAAGTTACAGTCTGGCTATGTGGCTCAGTGGCTAAAATGCTGAGCTTGTTGATCAGAAAGGTTGGCAGTTCGGCGGTTTGAATCCCTAGTATAGGTCTCCTGCATGAGCTGGGGGTTGGACTAGATGACCTCCAAGGTCCCTTCCAAATCTGTTACTATTACTGTTACTTGGCTAATGTTTCCTCATCCCTTCTCTTTCTCCTTTAAAAGAGATGCAGTGAGAATGTCTGAAACCTTTGGTATACACAATACCCTTGAAGGTATACAGCAGCGACTTAGCAGGGTAAGGCCTTCTAAAGGATCTACCATCAATGCTATTTTCAACTTCTGCTGCCAAAAAAATGTAGCAGCTGTAAAAATTTCAATACTTCCCCACTATAGCCTAAGGACAAATCTTCTTTTCAAATCAAATCTCAAATACCAAAATGGTTCCAACCAAATCAGTTCACTCTCAAAACTCAAAAGTCAATTTGAATGATGCCCTCTTAGGGAAACTGAAGCTCGAAATCAAATTAAATCAGGGCTGATTTGTACAGGCCTACGAAATATCATGACCAGAGGCACTGTCAAATTGTCAGTCCTCAGTCAGAACTTGTACGTTTCTTTAGAGTTTTTGCATTTTTTAAAAACCGGGAAAATACCTGTTGAAGGCGGTAGAAAAATCAGCTTATGGTTAGTAGAACCCTGTCTGTGATATAGGAGAGCACTGATATTTTTACTGCACTCTCAGAGAAGATTTCTCTGGATTCAAGACCATGTAGAAAGCCTCCAGAAATGGTTGTGAATCCATACTGCAAATTGTTTTCCTATATGTATGAAGGGTAATTAGGAACTAGAATTAACATGTTCCTCACCTTTCTCCTCACATCTAGAGCAGAGGTAGGCTTCACAAATTTTAGCAAGGGGTTCTCTGCCCGATTGCTGGATGGGCGTGGCCATGGTGGGTGTGGCCTACTCTGCCTCCTGCACCACGGCGGGAGGGCGGATTTGCCCTCCTTGGGCTCTGGAGGCTTTCCTTGAGCCTCTGGGAGGGCGAAAACAGCCTCCCCAGGCTCCAGAGGCCCTCTGGAGGAAAGAAATGACTTCCGGTAGGCCTGTTTTTTGCCCTACCCATGCGCGCCCTGCATTTAACTGCATCCAAAATGGGCCAGGTGGGGACTCCTGGGAGGGGCAGGGTGGGGTGGGTGGAGCCAGCTAGGAGTGGGATTTGAGGGTTTTCTGAACTGCACAGAATCTTAGCTAGAGATTTTCCCGAACCCCTGCGAACCCCCAGCAGCCCACCCTTGATCTAGAGGCAATAGAATGGTTGAAATGGTCTTTAATCAATAGGTAGATGTTTTCAGGAATAAAGTCTTGCATTGATTTCTGCACAGACAAGAAATATCATTGGACAGGTTCGCGTGAAAGCCAACATATATGAATTGTAAGCCACCCAGAGTCATTGACTAAGATGGGTAGCCATAGAAATTGAATGAATGAATGAATGAATGAATGAATGAATGAATGAATGAATGAATGAATATTCAGTGCAGGCTTCCTCTGAAACATATCCTGTTCAAACATATGGATTTCCAAAGGAATTGGCTACATTCTGAGCAATGTCAGCAGAGAATGGGGAGTGTCATTTAATGAGTATTTCCAAGTCCTAGACAAACTGAAGAGGCTAACTAGACAGAGATGAACATGTTGTGGTCCGCCAGCAGCCTGCAGAGCTGGCAGTGGAGTTGGACAGTGAGGAGGTTGGGGAGGACAATGGGCCAGTCCGGGAGTCAGAGGAAGGCCCGGATGAGGACTCTGCATCGGAGGCAGAGATGGGGCCAGGGCCATCTGGGAGTGATGCGTGGACTTCGGAGCCTCCAGAGGCAGATAGCAGAGAGGCAGAGGAACAGGAGGAGCCTGTTCCTAGTGCACGCATGCGAAGAGCTGCCAGAAGGCAAGAGCAACTAAAGCAAAAAGGACGACTCAGGAGTAAGGCCAGGAGATATTGGCCCCTCCCAGAAGGCTTAAAAGAGCAGCAACGGTACTTGGGATCTTTGTAGGAAAGCATATGTTTCTTGTCGGTGTCTCTTGCTTCTGAACTTCATGGGGTTTTGCCAAGAAAAGCCTTTGGCAGGGTGCCAAAGAAGATAAAGGTTGGTAATAAGGCTGAAGGACTGTTTATGAAGAATTTGTTTTGGAATTAATTTGGACTAAGCTGAGAATGAAGTAATTCTCAGCTGTTCTAATAAAATATGTTCGTTTAGGACTGATTGTGTCTGGTAATACTACTAGGGCCTAGGTCACAACAGAACAGGCAGATAAACTGAAATTAAGATGATACGATGGTTTCAACAGAATCAAGGAAGGGTGGGTTAAATTCTTTTTTTTTTAATTTTTATACAAACATACATAAATAAAACCATCTTCAATTGCAAACAGTGTGTCGGTTGGTTACAAGTCTTTTGTGCATCTTCGCCCAATTCATAGCTTATAATTTACAATTTCCCTAAATTCTCATATCCTCGACCTAATATATATCTATATATATTATTATCCTCATTAATCATTTATTTGATTATGACTATTTCTTCCCTCATTATTATTCAAAATATTCTTAAATTTGAGTTAATTTTTTTAAAACATTCATTTCATCCTCCTAAATCTGTCTACTAGTACATCTTTATAGTTTATTTCACATAATTCTACAATTCTTGTATTGTGAAGATCTCTACCATATTTCATTTCCATATTTTTTTATCTAACCATTGATAAAATAGGTCCCATATCTTATAGTATTGTTTATCTTCTTGTTCTCTAATTTCAAATGTCAATTTGCTCTTTCAGCATATTCCATTATTTTCTTAATAACTTCATCCTGCGTTGGTATTTTCTCATTTTTCCAATTTTTAGCAAACACAATTCTAGCCGCTGTTAATACATTAACAATAAAATATCTCAACTCTCTATTATATATTTCAGGTACAATAAATAAAATAAAAAAATCTCTGGTTTAAAATCTGTGTGTTTTTTTTGTCATTTTTTCCAACCATGTGTGGGGGGTGGGTTAAATTCTTAATGTTTTCATGACTATTTTTTTATGATACCCATCAGGATTTTCCGATCTAGGGTAAAGCACCCAACTTTTGAGAAGGGGACCATCCTCTTTTAAAGCTGATGTACATGGATAAAATTATTTTTTAAAAAAATTTGATTTATATGCCGCCCTTCTCCGGAGACTCAGGGCGGCTTACAATGCGTTAAGCAATAGCCTTCATACTTTTGTATATTTATACAAAGTCAGCTTATTGCCTCCACAATCCGGGTCCTCATTTTACCTACCTTGGAAGGATGGAAGGCTGAGTCGACCTTGAACCTGGTGAGATTTGAACTTGCAGTAATTGCATACAGCTGGTGTTAATCACAATACTTTTAGTCTGCTGAGCCACCAGGCCCTTTTTTATAGTAGTAAGGCAAAGAACAAACAGCGGAGGACAGCTTGAGTTGGAATTTACTTGGGTAGTTCACTTTGATTCATACTGTTACCTAAAATGATCACAAAAAATTTGGCATGAGGTTTTATAGATGGCAGATGTTCAGATCTCCAGGGTCTTTTTTATTTATTTATTTATTTGTCTTTTGTACCTTAGCAATGGGAAATAAATAACAAATATGGTCTTGGACAGAGAGAGAGAAAAAAAATCAATAATCACAAAGGTCACTTAATGACAGAGTGAGAGCAATCCATGGTCAGTTGAAGTCAATGGTAGATCTTCTGTTAACTCTACATTATACCAATACAGATTTTGTAACAACAACTTTATTTAAGTACT